AGCAGCAACAGCAGCTACTTTTCGCAAATAATGAGCGCTGCTGGAATCAGAAAGCCTGCACAGGGATTTAGAGAAAAAGGCAGACGATACAGATACTGAAGCAATGCTTGAGGCTCTTTCCTTATAAAAAGGATGAGAACAATCTGAGCAGTGCTAACAACCATGAAGAATGCAGCAAAAAGGGGAAAGGACAAGAGCAAAACTCATAGTCACTAACAGAACAGAAGCAAAGGTAAGGTATGGATATGAAATATAGAGAGAAGGGAAAAAGAGAGAAAGTCTTGAAAAAAGCTAAGCAGAAGCAAAGAAAGAAGTTGAGATAAAAGATGTGGACTACACAGTGTCATTTGATGACAGATGCTTCACTGCATCAAATAAAGCAGACGATATTCTAGAATGAGAAGACGACCCAGAAAAGGACAGAGCTTTGTCAGCTTCATAAGGGAACTTATTGATAATTTCACTTCTTTTTTTTATTTTTTATTTTTTTTATTTCACTTCTATGGAAAGAGATACAGGGCAATTATTTTACATGCAGCTGGCTGCAAACATTTCACAAAAGGAATTAGGAAGACTTTTGCATTGATATTTCTAGTACGAGAACACTTCTGGACATTGATGAGTTCAGAAAATACTGATTTGTGGCAAGACTTACAGAGGGCATAAGGTTTGAATGTTCCACCACAGCAAGCTCCACAACTGAGTGGCTCTTTGGCATTTGGTGCTGTGGCAGCATTTTATTTTGTTCAGACTTGCAAATAAGACTTGCCCGACAGACTGAAATCTTAGCATTTGCTGCAGTTTCTCCTCTTGTTCAGCAACCTGCAACACATTCTGATGTTTAACCCTCAACAGAAGATAGATAGGATGTAGATATTAAGGACAATCTAACTCAAAAAATGTAATAAAAATGGAGGAGCTATTCATATTTATGTCAACAAAAATTCAGCTTGAGGGCAATGCCCAGGTGAAGTGAAATCAATGCCTTCAATAATCGCTGCTCTCTGACTGACCTTATCAAATACAAAAATTACATTTCTTGTTATATAGGTCTTGCCTTATCTTGGTCTTAACCATCCAGCAGAAAAGTATAAAAATGAAGTATATAAAGTAAAGCCATATTAATATGCTGAGCTGGGAAAGGCTCTAGTCAACAACTTCTGTGGACAACCCACTACTATTGTGGACTACTGGACTGTGTTGGATTGTTTTGCTGAATTTAAGCACCTATAATATTTAGATGCCAATAGAATACCCATCTCTGACAGGACTGAACTGGAGAGGGGGGATACAGAGGAAGGACCATTTTGCATTTGTATATACAGAATAGGATAGATGTACGGCTGCTTTCGCTTGGTTCAATGAGAGGAAGGATTTGTAGTAGTAGGGTCTGGACGGGATGTCTTGGCTACTTCTTGTGCTGTGGATGACTGCTGAGAAGATAATGATGTGCAATGTATTAATTACTGAAAATGTCCTATTAATAAGCTTGGAAAATTTCTCATTGATATTTGTTTCGCAATAAAATAAAAAACATAATAATCACTGCTCTCAATGCATTGCATGGCAAGTGGTTTGCTGGTAAAGTAACAGGAGCATTTTATGTACCTTTTATAATGTATCACAACCTCTTTCCTGGTTTCCTGGTTTAATGATGGCAGAACAACCACTGGTTCCAAGTAGATGATAAAGGAACACATAGTTCCTTATGTACACAGCTATTTTTTTTTTTTTTTTTTGTGGCTTTCTTGATAATTCATCTTGAGATGTGGTTTTGTTTTGTTTTGTGTATGTTGTACCAGGGATTGATCCCAGGACCACTGCCACAAGCCGTCTTTTATTTTGAGAGGGGGGTCTCACTAAGTCACTGAATTTCTCAGGATGACCCAAAATTTGCTATCCTCCTGCCTTACAGAATGCTGTGATTACATTCATGTGCCACCAAGCTAGGCTTCGAGTTATCTTTTATTTAGATAAAAATAAAAAGGTGAGGATCTAGTGTCATTTGAACATAATACCTATTATCTTGAAGAAAACATTATGGGTAGGGGAGAATGATAGTTATCCCCTGGCATTCATCCCAGCTCTGTGAATCTACACTGCCTAACCACTTGATTCTAACAGAACATGACAAAGATGATGAGATACTATTTTCATTATTAGGTTGCTTAAGATTCAGCCTTCTATCTTTCTAGAAGATTCTCTTTTTTTGCTGGTTTTGATGAAACAAGTTGCCATGATATGGACGCCCAAGTGCTAAAGATATAGAAGCAGTCTCTGGTCAACACCTTGCAACAAATGTGGCTCTCAGCTATCAAGCTTTAAGAAATTCAAATTCTGCCAATAACCAAGTGAATTTGAAAACAAATCCATTTCCAGGTGAGCCTTCACATGAAATCTAGCCCTGGACTGGAGAGATGGCTCAGCAACTTAGAGGCCTGCCTGGCAAGCACAAGGGTTTAATCCCCAGTGGGGGGGAAAAAAAAAAGAAAAGAAAAGAAAAGAAAAGTATCTTGCCCTACTTTGTTTATACCGTATTTTTTTTTTTAATACCTTGATTACACTTTTGAGAAAGGCTTTGACTCAAACAATCAGGTAACGTTATGCCTGAATTCCTAACCCAAAATATTGTTTTAAAGTGTTAAATTTTGGTGATTTTTTTTTTTAAATGTATTTAGTACAGGGTCTACAGGGTCTCACTATATAGATCGGACTCATAGTGATCCTCCTGTTTTCAGCCTCCTAAGTGCTGGGATTACAGGTGCACACCACCACACCCAATCTCAATCACTGTCTCGATGGGCCCGCATGGCACACTGGGGATTTTTTTTCTAATTTTTTATTTATTTATTTTTTTACATTTATTTATTTGTGTGTGTGTGTGTGTGTGTGTATGTGTGTGTGTGTGGCCAGCTCAGCCCACCTGGGGGTGGGGCTGGCTGGCATGTGGTGCTGGGGGATTGAACCACGGTCCCTGTGCTTTGCCAAGCTTGTTCCAAGTAGGTGCTTTAGACCACTGAGCCATCTCACCAGCCCCACACACTGGGGATTGAATGTGGAGATTTTCATAAGTAATAGGTTACTAATATACTAGCTGACATCACTTGAACAGAGATGAGCCACATCCAGGCCAAACTACCAACTGGTAGAATCATAAACCAAATTAATGATTATTGTGAAAAGTTTGGGGAAATTTGTTATACACTAAAAACTGAGGGATACAATATGTAAAAACAGAATAAGCCATGACCAAGGTGAGCTCATTCCAGGTATATAAGGATGACTTAGTTAGAAAATTTGGGTGCTCGCTTCAGCAGGATATATAATAATTAGAAAATCTGGCTAGGTATGGTGCACGAAACTATAATCTCACCTATTCAGTAGGCTGAGGCAGTACTGCAAGGTTTGTGGGGGCGTTTTTGGTGGAAATGGGAACTGAACTCAAGCCCATACACTTGCCAGGCAAATGCTTATTCCACTGAGCCATCTCCTGGCCCCTGTTTTGAGACCAGGTCTCCCAATGTACTTTATTTATTTATTTATTTATTTTTAAAATTTGTGTGTGTGTGTGTGTGTGTGTGTGTGTGTGTGGCCAGCTCAGCCCACCAGGGGGC